TGAAGTGTTAAAGCTTGAGTTTTCTGTTAAAGCTTGAGTTTCTATCTATGCTTGGGCCCTATTTTAGCCTTGAGTGGCTCGGTTTTTGGCCTCCATTAGGGCTCGGTCTTACCTGCTCTAGCTCTTGACTCTTGCCTGATTATGAGGCTTATTTTTGTTTGATTTGGGGTGTGGCTTTATTCCTTTTGCCCCTGCTGGTTTTCGGTTTGCCTAAAAATGGTTGGGTTTGGATTTGCTATCATATACTGCATTTGATTAGCCTTTAAAGTTTTGATTTGATCTCTTTAGGGGCTAGGTTTTCACTTTGGAAGGGTTGGAGGTTGGGTTTTAGATTGAGATCTTGTCTTGGGTATGTGAACTTTACTTGTTAACATTGAGGGATTTATTTTGGCTTGATTTGGGAGCTCAGTTTGCTTGTTTTAGCACCTACCCGAGAGCCCGTACCCGAGAGCCTGTTGTGGTGTTTATTCCTGTCCCTGTTCCATAGCTGTGGGAATGTTCGATTTTATTTGCTTTAACCCCTATTTGGGAGCTCGATGTTGTCTTGTCCTGTCCCTGCTCGAGGAGTGGTTTGGGTTTGATTTTTGTTTGCCTTAGTCCCTACCCGAGAGCCCATGATTGATGCCTTATATTGGTCCCTACTAGAGAGTTTTGGTGGCTGCCCTTTGCTTGCTTCTGTCCCTTCCCCGAGAGCTCGTTGAGAGCCTGTCTTGTGTCATTTTTCTGCTCTTACCCGAGAGCTTGTTGGGGGCTTGTCTTGTGCCTTTTTCTGCTCTTACCCGAAGGCTTGTAGTGGAGTTGGTCCATGCTTGTTCTTAGCTCCACCCATGGGCTTGTTGGTAGGCTACCCGGGGTTGTTTGACTCTTCCTGCCGAACTTAGGGTGACTTGAATGTTATGGATGAATCAAGTTTGCCATCCAAAAACATGTGCATTTGCACTATCTATAGAGTGAGGTGATCAAAAATAAATTGAGCATATTTCTTATGTCTTATTTGGGGGAAATTGGAGCTGGTTTGAATGATTTATACAAGCTTGTCCATTCACTCTCTTACATATCAAAAGCAATACTTTGGGTAGTTTTCCTGTTGCTCCCGTGGCCGTGGGCTTCTTTAGTGCCTTTGGTTGCCTTGGCCGTGAGCCTCCGCTCCTTTTGTGCCTTGGATTGCCTTGGCCGTGAGTCTCTTTTGCCCTATTTTGCCTTGAACAAAACCCTTGGTGGCTATACCCTCCTATATTGACCCCGACCGTGAACATTTCTCTGGTTCTATGGGAAGATTTTATGCTTATTTGATATATGAGGCTATTGATTAATTTGACAGAAGATCTTGATTTTTGTATGGGTTTGGAAATACTAGTGGTGGTTTCCCCGATGTCACTTTCCTTTTGCTTGATTTATGAAGTTTGGGAGATTTCTGAATTTTATCCTGGGGAATTGATTTCATAAAAGATATATTTGGGGTTTGGATACCGATGTTAGGAGGTCATTTTGACTCGCGTTAAGTCATTTATAAAAATGTGAGAAAGTGATATCCTTTTGAATTGATTCAAGGATCTTCGGGTCTTCCTTTTCAGGTCTTTTTCGTCATGAGTTTTGAGAGCTGCCTCATCCTCCGTTCTTTTCAATATTTTAGGTGGATCAGTCCCCAGTATCTCCTCTCTCTCACCCTATTTTTGTTCTTTTCTTTCTTTGCTTCTTGGTTCGATTTTCGATGCTTATGTCTGATACATAAGTGTCCATGTATAGCTTTTTGCTATACGTGAAATCATCAGATAAGATCGCAAGTAGGTCGGTTTTATTTTGGGGCTTAGGGTAGTGATGACAAAGTCACACCGGAGATAGAGCAGAGTGATATGTCATCCTATGACATCAGGATTCGATTCAGGAACCCATCAGGATCTGATTCAGGAACCCGGTGAGCTGTAGGATGGTAATATCATTCACCGACACAAGACTAGCGGGAGTTGACCCAAACCTTCTTAGGTTGTTGGTAGCCTTATGCCCGACAGTGCGATCGACTCGTGGATAACTATTTTTCAAAATTGATAAAAACAAAATTAATAAAAACAGATACATTTTTTTCTAAAATAAAAATACATTTTTTGCTACAAACAAAATTGATACAACCCAATTTTTGCATGTTTGAAACCTATGTGCATGCTGAAAATATAAATTTTAAATACATTTTAAACATCGGTTGTTCACATGTTGATCACCTGTTTATGCTAAGGAGTACCCTCCTGAGTTAGGTTCGATATGACACCTTTCTAGTTGAGTGGCGGACTTTATACATCCGGGTGACCGAGTAGCCTTCGACGAGTAGCCTTCGAGTGACCGAGTAGCCTTCGACGATCCTCGAGTACTAATATATAGTTGAGCCTAGCCCCGACCCGAGTGCTTGCGGTCCCCCTCTTTTCTGATTTTTTCATATGTTTTTCTTGGAATTTTTGGACAAAGCACTCGTGGTCTCTTTTCGGGATTTTCTCGTGTTTTCTACGATTTTAATCGATTTGTTGATTTGTTGATTTCCTCGCATTTCTCTTGTCGTGAGTCTTTTGACGACCTTTCTTGAGATTTTTGGACGATGTTTCTTTGTTTTCATTTATATAAATCATTTCAGTTTGTTTCCTCAAGTTTTGTTACTTGTATTACAACTAAATTAAGATGTCTCTATCAGATGATCGGGAATCCCTCGGAGGAGGTAACCTACGGTTGCTAACGAGGCTTCTGATGGTCTAAATGAAATTATGGAACTCATTAAGTTGAGTTTATTAAATTCATTTGGACTAAGTGAATCCAATAAAAAATAGTGGTGTCAGAACGAGAAAATTGTAGGATCCTAACTGGTGTCTCTCTAATCAACTTTAACATGCCCCCATAAATTTTTTAAAGAACTACAACCATAGGGTCACCTGATTTGACATTATAACCTGACACCCTAGAAAACTTAAATTCATCACGGAAAACTTAAACCCGTCATGTCGTGGAGCTTGGAGCTAGCGCGGTGGTCAGCACGACCATCTTCAACAGCAGAACATGTCTTCCCCAGCTAAACCATTTATTTCCTAGAAATTAAAACGACAATCCATAGGATTTCGAGATTGTTCGCCTAACGCGTTTGTCTAGCGCAACATAAATTCTCAACCTTTTCTTTAGGCATTTGTATAGCTCTACTGTACGATCTAAACCCTAACTCGTTTTAGGATTTTGAGGTTGTCGTTCGTTACGACCTAAATCCTCACATCTTTCAGGCTATTTGTGTGATCGTTTCACACGAATGTAAGCCCTAAATAGATAAAATTGGCAGGATAAAACACTTGAATATATCTCCTCGAAACTGAAGCCAAACTATAGGGTAGACTGGGAAGTCACCGAGGATCTCCTCTGGATCTGTGACATCCCCTAGTTCTTTTTCCTTTGGATTCTGTAATAAATGTTCCAAATTTGAGCAATTCCCCTTTCACACCTTCTTGTTCGATTTCATGAAAAGTCTCATCCTTTTGAAGTCCTTGAAGATAATTTTTCCTGATTTTTACCGAGAGTATTCTTAAGTGACTTCGGTCATTTAAGATGTAATTAACAATAGAGATTTGCTCTTATAAGAAGCTTTTCCGAACCCAGCTTAAAATAAACCCTATTTAATTTTTCATATTAAATAGGGAAATTTGTCGGCAAATAAAACAGTTTCGCTGACCAAACGGACGTCATATATTTCTTAATTTATTTGATCAAGCCTCATCCTCAAGTCTTGTGTTTATCCCTCGGGATAGATATATGGTTTGAGGTAGAGTGCTCTTTCATTTAAACTGTGAAAATTATTGGGTCAGTTTGATTTCATATTTTTCTAAACTTAAATCTATATGCAAATTAAAACGTCCTTCCGAAGCGGGCGATGATATTTCAATTCCGGCGACCGACAACTTCTTACGGGCGACTCACCACACCCCAACTTTTTATCGCCGACAGAACCGTTCGGTCCTCTCCCTTGCCCCTCGTCACTTTGATATCTACATTCAAACAATTTAATCTATGCATGAAAATGTGTATTTCATTTTTGAAAAGTTTATGATATTGGTATTTTTTTATGTGATATGAATTTTTTGAGTTTTATAAATATAAAAATCAACTTTAGATTTTAAATATATAAATTCATTAAAATTGTGTGGTTTGTATGTAAATGACCATTCTAATAAAATGACATCTCTTTAGTCTACACCATATATTATGAAATATTTTCTATGTAACGACATGATTTTCCTTTTTTGGATTAATATAGTTTCTTGCAAGGAAGTGGGATGAGCTTCTACAATACATGCCATTTACCATAGATACACGCCATTAATATTGATATGACCATTTTTGCTGTCATAACTTTTTCTAAGTTTTCATCCTTCCTTTTAACTTGTACAATCTTTGATGACGAGTGAATCTATCATTCTCAATATTGCCAAACACTATTGAGTCCTTTGGGTCAATCGATTTTGTTGGCTCTCTCCACCAGCTTTTCACCACTCTGCCATTGCTATGAGACATCGTTATTTTCATAGCTGTGGACGAAGCACCCTTTTTATTTGCTCTCATTGTGAATGCACTATTCATTCCTCGAAATGTTGCTGGCCCAAGTTCGAATATCCCTTTATTGCTCAGCTTGTCTCTAGCTTTTTTATGATTGCCTTTAGCACTTCTGCTTATTCTGATTCAATCATTTTGTCCAAGGAGGATTATGGTTATCTCATCCAACACTCTATACTCTCAAAGTTTCTTTTTGTTAAGAGAATTTTTCTTTATAAACAAAAGAGTTTCCTTTCCTCAAATCCATCCCAGTGGCATTCCGGTTTATGCTTACGTTTTAAAAAATGAATATCGATTTGTAGGGTGTCCTTTCCAATTCTAGTAGCACGAATATCTACACTTTTATTCTAGGCATATAGGGAAATAGTTTTTCAAGATTTGTTATCGTGATAAGTTTTTTTTTAAGAGGATTTTGACATTTTAGACCACTGGGATTTTTTAAACATAGCACAGATTGTGTGCTTGGTATTACAACTCCACCGGATTTTGTTTTCTAACAAGCCAATCATGCCTGTTTGTGGTATCATCTAGCGGTTGCTTTTGTCGCTGTTGGTTCATTATTACATTTTAATGGTGCTTCTGCAGCACAACTACTACATTAATGCATATAAAAGTTATACATCTCTTGTTTATTTTGTCATTTGCAGGTTGGAATGGAGACTGAAGGTTTTGCTATTTATGATGCTATGATGCAGCTGAAAAATGAGGTAGCTACTTTTCTTAACTTTTTTTCCCGATGCATTGTTCTTTCAATCTTGTGGTGTTGATTTTAACATTTTTTGGACTTCCAAGTGTTCGCTTCTTTTGCTTGAACATGTTTTCCATGCATCCTTTTTTCTTCTTTTTGAATTGATTTTGACTCTTCTCCCATTGGAGGTGTAGTTAATTTTAAATATTACTCATAATTCAATTTGCAGGATGATTTAACTACGAAATATTTTGAAATTGCTAATTTTCTTGGAAAAGTAAGACGGGATATTGCTCTTTAAATTTTTAGGTAGCTACGCTATGCTGTTCTGATTCCGCTTATTTTGGTTAATGTAAAACATTTTTCCAAGCTAATCAGTTTGAATGGGTTGGATGATACTTCACCATTTAATGATCATGGCGATGTGGATTTGTTTGTAAGTTGAAAGCGTTGTCTTTGGCTTGCGAGGGGACGTCCATTTTGAGATGTTGTTTTGATGTTTTTGAGGTTAGTTTTTAACAAATAGTAATCAAATCCTATTGCGAATGGTGCGGATTTTGTGATTACTGTTTGCTAGCCATATATGGGAACAGAAATTTTGGAATGACCTGGGAGAGTCTCGTGGTCCAATGTGCTGGTTGAATAAGCCAAGAAGTGAGGGCGCCTATCAAATCTTCTTACGAGTAATCGGTTTTCATTAATGTTTAAAATCTTTGAAATAAGGAGCGTTGCTATTTATTTTCTTATTTTAAGATTTGATATTGCTTTATTTATTTTTTTCTCATTACTTAAACCCTTGTAACCTTATTTAAATCTTCATTGAAGCAAGGAATAAATCAATCAAATTTCCTCCTCCAAAACCATATTTAACCTCTTCATCTCATCCTTCTTTTCTTCAGCGGTTTTATTTTGCGAAGCTATCCATGGCAACTTCAAGCTTTCATACCATCTACCCCACTTCTCCATCTAAATAATCGAAATCTTCTAAAACCTCTTCCTGCTTTGTGCAATAGTTGGAACTGATTGGCAAGGGTACAGAAAAAGCTATGAGGACTAATTCTCCCTCTGATAGCAAGTATAGTGCCTGGGAGAAATCATATTTGTTCTGCAAAAGTCTAGATTTCTCTCTTAGGAATTCTAAAATTTGATACTCTTGAGATTGAGATCAAATCTGGTATTATAACATGAATTATGGCCTTTGTAAGAAAGGGAAATTATGGCACTATATGAGCGAATGTGAGCTCTGTTTTCACTCAAACTTCAGAGCTAATCAACATGAAGAATCTACAAGTAATCAAGAAATGTCAAATTTTGAAGTATCTCCCAGGACTGCCACAGTTCAACAATTGTTTGAGGTAGGGCTGTCAAAACTGCTCGTTCGCAAACAGCTTGTGTTCGGTTCGTTCGCTTAGTTAACGAGCCGAACACGAACAAAGATTTGTTCGTTCGTATTTGACTCTTTATATATATATATAAGATTTATAATCAAGTAAAAGTATTAATTAAGAAAATAGAATAAAAATTATTAAATTAGATTCAAATGATGTTTTAATATAAACAATAATTTTTAAATCTTGCCCCAATCCTAAACATCTTATGGCTACGTGATTAGGGTTGTCAAAACGACTTTTTGTTTGTGAAGAGCTCGTGTTCAGCTCGTTAAGCAAACGAGCCGAGCAAATGAGCCGAACACGAACACACTTTTTGTGCTCGAAATATAAACGAGCCGAACACGAGCTGAGCCTCTCTCGTGTTCGACTCGTTTGCAACCCTAGTTTGCGGAGTATAGAGAATTTAGATGATATATTCCAAACATTTTTTGAATTGAAGCCCTCCTAAAGTGTCTTGTTGCTTCATTCAATAACATGAATTGATTAGCAGGTGGACGGAAAGGACGGAAAGAGCTACAATGACTAATTCCCCCTTTGGCAGTAAACTTAGCGCTTGGGATAAATTATATTAATCTTTCAATGCTTTAGAGCTCTCAGTTAGGATTTCTAAAATTTGTAAGCCTTGAGATTGTGATCAAATTTGGTATTAGAACATGAATTATGGATTGTGCAAGAAAGGAAGAATTATGGAAAAAATAGGTGCAAGAGTTCGTTGATTTTACTCAGAAATTTGACCCCGACCAATATGAAGAAGAAACTATGAATCTGGGAGTTTCTCTCAGGACTGCTAAATTGGAAGACAATTCTAATCTTTTTCAGAACAAATGACTTCTTAGACAGCAGACATTGCTACTTCACATTATGCAATGTTCTCCCCATAATGGAAATCAAGGCATGAGGATGATGGTCTCCTAAGTTGCGGGCAATGATTATGATGGCGCACCACAAGATAAAGAGAAATATATGCTGTAATTTTGTGCAAAATAAGTGAATTTCATTCAAGGTTATATGAAGCTAGTACCAATATGTGACATGATTGTCGATACTGAGAACTTGGATGGTGGGATCAAACTTCTTTTTTTTTTTATAACTTTTTTCAGTATGGCTATGCACATCTAGATATCACCTTTGTTTGAGGTTTTCCAGCTACAATTTGATGATGTGGAATGTGGAACAACAAAAATACTTCAATTGCAACCAGGATATCAAATATAACAATCCAAACAATAGTAACAAGCTAAGGAGGAGCTCTTCCTGATCAATATCAAAGTTAAGATGGATTTTGTTTCAATCATTTTTTTATTGTGGCAGCAATTAAACCTACTGTTTAGGAGTTGATATGAAGATTGACATTGGAGATGAAAGTCTATCTAAATCCTTATTCATTATGGCGGCTTAGAGGGAGTTTGAATACACAAATGGGACAACTAATTCATTTTCAAGCTTGGGATTATGGAGAATTGCATTTTTTATGTTAATTATAAGGTTACTCTTTTAGATATTTGTCATGTGAATTATGAAGTCCGAATCTTTTGGAGTGTGCCACCATTTGCTACTAAAAGTGGTAGACGTATTGATTAATAAAGATGATTAAAAACTCGTAGTCTCAAGCAATCTCTCTATTTTTTTAAAGTTTCTCAGGCAAGTTAAAAAGATTATTTAGGCCAATTTTAGTTTTGTATTGCTTCTTCTTCATTTTCTTAGAAGATGTGAGTTGTAAAAATATTGTTTCTCCTATGTGAGATTATAGGACACGAAAGTACTTATTTAATTTTTTTAGTATTTGATGTACTCTAATAAAGCAGCTTAACCAACTATTGTGAAGATTTCTATCCTTTTGTTTCCAACTGGTCATGTGTTTGTTGTCAATAGAATTGTGGAGCATAAATTCTCACTTTTTGAGAGAGACTTTATATTAAATCAAATGATTTATCAACTCTCTTAACTTGAATAAGAAGAGATTATGTAATAACTACTCCATCTAATGGAACAAGGGCCATACAAATGAGCTCTTTGCTATGTAGACCACTAATAGCATCACTTCCAAAAAAAAAATAATAATAAAAGGTAATCAACAAATGTGCATCAATTACAAGGCATTGAATGAAATCACCATAAAATCAGCCACCTTTGTGGATTGATAAATCGATTTACATTTTTAACTGGAGATATATTTTTCCATGTTCAATAATAATTGACTACCAATTATAGACAACAATGTATAAGGGTGTTCCATCTCTAAGGATGTTGGAAGGACTTCAATATAAGATGCCTCTTCGATAATCAAGAAAGTTGATATTGGGGATACAAAAATAAGCTACAAATATTGTAGAAGTGTGCAATGGAGTGGCTATGCTGCTGTACTCAGGGGTAGTTGTAAGGTAACCCTTATGAAGATAGCTGTAACATTCTCAGAGTTATTGGTTAAATCTTGGGTGTTGTGGTGCTTTAGGATGCAATGCGAGCCTATCTACATGTAAGGCTATGGCATAAATGTTGTTACAATGTAAGTCTTGTTGCGGCATAGGTTGTTTGTTTCATTTTTCTTATTACATTTGTGCAAAGCCATGAGTTCTTGTTGCAAAGTAAATTATGCCGAGTTGTAGGCTTTGTTATGATATATAGGTCTCTTTCTGCTGTAGTTCTTGTTGCAACGCAAGTCTTGTTGTGATACAGTATTGCTACTATGCAGGTCTCGTAATTGATGACAATGGTGCATAACTTATGGATAACTATTGCTCTTAGGATTTCTACATGATTCAAGTATTCTTTACAATTGGAACAATCTCCTCCAATGATTTGAATGAGGGGATCTTTATCTATTTGTTCATTTTTTTTAAGGATATTCCAATCTTTCTCCACAATAATTTTCATAGTTTTTAATAGTAAATGATGTAAATGCACCCTCCCATAATTAAACTATAATCAATAGTATGTGCGTAACTCCCATTCTTACACAAGGGACACTGAATCAATTAGCTTTTTTTCAATCCTCCCCTTTGATATTGGCTATGTTGTTGTGGCCATTACTATTTGTTCTTGTGAGTGGTTTTTTATCTCACACAATAGGATTAATGAGCTTGTCAACCTCAAATCAACCTTCTAAATCGAATAGTTTTGTTGTCAAGAGATTCAACATTACTTGAATCTTATACGAGCTCTTTTTTTGTTGGAAGTCTTTTTGGTCTTTGATTTGACTTTCCTTGGTAAAATTGATTCTTATTTGAGGTTTTTGAGTTGTCTTGATACATGTGTTTAAGTTGATATAAATAATTGATCCTTTAAGGATTTTTATTGATTTGTGGTGCTGCTTGGATCGGATTGGTATCCAAGCTCTTTCAAGTTGTTCCTAATAATGTCCAGTGTCATTTATTTTGTAAGGGTGTGCCACTCTAAAAAAAAATCAGGCACTTCGTAGCCTAATTATTTAAGGCAAAGGAGATCTCATTAGATTGGAGAGGGAATTAGAGAGTGACAATAATAGAGATTATGGAAAGAAATTTTAAATGCAAACTTTGCTTGAAATCAAAACTAATTTCCAACAAAGTAAGTTTCCAATTCCTTTTTTTATAGAAGTACAGTAGGGGATAACTGAATTTAAATTAATCCTTATCTAAAAGGGATAATAATACATAGGAATAGCTATTATATTTAAAATTGACCCACTAATTCTAAATTTGCAACATGAATTTGGGAACTTTCTCATTAAAAAAAAAAAATCAGGATTACATTATAATGAAAACTGCTAAATATACTAGATTTTAGGGATTAACCATAATTTTAAGAAAGGGATAATTTAGTTCAAATATAGTTAAGAGATTTACGCTTGCCATACATTTGTTATTTATGGATCCAAATTTGGTGGCTATCAAGGTTGATCTTTTCCATTTAAGTTACTTATTGCCATCAGCTGAAGCATCAATATCTATGCTCAAATTGAAGAATATTGATCAACCATTGATCCTTGGGTTTGATGAGATCATTTTCGTGCCTAAGAGTTCTTGGAGATTTCTTACATGCGTAAGAGAACCTTCTTTAATAATTTAAAATCCCAACAAATATTATGAGAATTGATTTGGTGGGCACTAAAGGTGAAGCTTTGTGTGAAAGTATATTAAAGTTATTAATTATGCATGATGGGGCACTATTGATATTAGAAGTAATGTGTGGTCACCTAAAATATTCGTGGTGCCTTGGTATATATGTTTTAATAGATGTCATATCTTTGAGTCGTAAGATATCTACTTAAATAGATGAAAATTTAAAATAATAGGGAAAAAATTCAGGAGATAGAGGGTTTATAATAAATAGAGCAAAGATTATGTGGTATTCTGTTTTATGGAAGGTTATTCTAACAATGATGAGTCTTTATTAGAATACAAAGTGATACCTATGCTTATAATATCAAATATCTTTGATCTATTCCTACATGAATGATGATATTGTTAACTTTACTTCTAGATTTTTGCAATAAAAGAGTACCTCATTAGTATTATTTGATTAAAGAATAACATGAAAACAATAAATTTTATAAAATGGCTATTAAGTAGACTATTTTGATGAATGTGAGTATGGGTGGTAAAAAATTATTGTAGTTAGACAGAGTATGATATAAATGAGTATGATATGAATGAGAATGTTAAAGTAGAGTCAAATAAAATTATTAATGAGATGTATAATTATATTAGAGGAATGATTTGAGCAATATTTATTAAAGATAATATAGTTAAATGATTTAGAAATATGCAAAATCGGTTTGAAAATTTGCCCTTTGTACGAGCTGATAAAATTAGTGGTACAAGTTTTAGGAAGGTAGGGGACCAACATGAGATAACAGAAAAGTTATTCAAAATGATTGTTGAAGAATAAGTTTAAGATCTAGCAGTCAATTAGAATGAATGAAAGATAAGGATTTTATGAAATAGACTCCAACCTACTGAGTAGTTGGAACAAGGCTAACGATAATAAAATCTTGTGTGCGAGAGTGTGGAAAAAGATGTTTTTAAGAAAAGTAAAGATCTGGTCAACATGCAAACAACAATTTTGATGAAATTTTCAATTTGTAACGGAGTTGATCCTTGAAATTTCTGCAAGATCGAATATAAAATCCATCCAACCCAATATAGGCTTTTTCTTATCGCATTTACACTTTTTTGGAACTGGTTGATTTTTCATTTCAGACTGAAATTATTGTTTATTGGCCTATCTTTGATCATGTGAAACGATTGTTTCAACCTCAACCTAATCCAGGCTAACCATTTACACTCACTGAGTAGAGCAGACTTAAAAGACATTTTCTTCTTGCTAGATTTGGGCTAGGAGGCATAAATTTTGAATTCTGCTGATACTTTACCTGTTGGAGAGGTGGTTTTGCAGATGTAGAATGCAAGCGTTTCTTAATGTTTCAGGGGGAAGGCATCAGACAATTTGATGTTTATCGAATTATTGAATCTATCTGCCCTATCAAGTTGTTTGGCAGCTTCAACTTAAGGAACTTAACTGTGAAGTCACCTTCAATAATATACAGAAACTTGGCACCATCCTTTCTTTCTTTAGATGCCATTTTTATTTCTTTAAGTTTAGATACTAAATTATCATTGTATATGCATATATGTTTTACTTATCTGCAGATTTGGGTTATATTTTTGATTAATATTTATTGTTCATGTCTTTGAATTGTAATCTCTGTAGAATATATTTTATTTTAGAGGCATTTACATACATATCACACAATTATTGTGTATTTTCATATCTAACACCTAAACATTCATATTTAAGTGCATATCACTCAAATCTTTAACATCATATAATAAATACCTCAATCGCTAAATTTTTAAAAGGGAATTATGTTTTTTTTATCCATAGATTTATGACATCAAAGTGTTATAAGTTTAACTATCAAACTTTGGGTGTTAGATACATAAATGCATAAGAATTGTAGGTTATGTATGCAAATTTTCCTTTATCAAACTCGTGCAGATTCAAACTGTAGCTGTTGGAGCTGCAATAGGTCAGGCGTGCCTGCTTCTTGCTGCTGGAAAGAAAGGCAGACGGTTTATGATGCCTCATGCCAAGGGTATGCACTGAATTTTTACTTTTGTTCATCTGGGTTTTTGCTTCAGACATTTAACTACTAAATTTTATTGCAAATTGAAATGAATTATTTCATCAGCCATGATTCAACAACCTCGTGCTCCATCATCTGGACAGATGCCAGCAAGTGATGTTATTATTCGCGCTAAAGAGGTTAGATTTGTTTATCTAATGCAATCCAAATATTTTACATTAAACCACACAAATATGGGCATGCAAATCTGCCTTGCAATTTAAGGTTTGCTATTTGTCATGTATGAGGAAACTACTTGAAGAAATAATATAATTACAGTTATAAATGGCTTTCAGCTGTTATTCATGGAATGACCCTAGATGCTATAGTGATTTTGCTTAAATTGTGATTTATTGTAGGCCAAGTTAACATACAAAAATCCCATTTGCTGTAAACTAATTATAAGGAACTATACTTGGATAAAACATAGTTGAACGAGATCATTTTTTTTAGTTTTTAATTGTGACTTAATTTATTCTGCTAACAATTCCTTGATTGTATTTTACCGCCCTCTTATGTCCCATTTTGCGAACATTCACAGGCTCTCACATTTCTCTCTGTCTATGCCAGTTCTCTGCTTAGATGGCGTGCCCAATTATGCACATCTCGACTACACTCATCCTCCCTCCAGTCCAGCATCCATACCTCTGATGCTCACCTGCATCTATCACTCGAAACCTTGCATATGCCAGTTGTCACAGCCTTCTAGACAGCCCCTTTAGTGCGATCCAACCTCATTGTCTACTAAGATGAAGATTACCTCAAATCTAAAGTGTTTGATCTCACTGTCACCTCCTTATTTGTTAAAAAAATAATTTCTCTTTATTTGGTGATTTTAGTCCATCATCTACTGGCTGCAGCCATGGTATAAAATTATGATATCATTTGTTTATTAAACTTTGACTGTCTAGATCACATACTTTCCTGATCATTTCATAAGTTCACAAACAATATTTTTGATCTTGATATTTATCTTAGACTCATGGCTATTACTCTTATTTTAAAAGAGATAAATGCTATAGGCTTTAACTTCGGTGCATATTATGATCCATTACATCCTGTTGATCATAATCAACATTTTGATATTTAAATTCATCAAAAGCCTTGGTATATCATTCATAGCATCTTATCTCAAGATGAAATCTTGGCAACCATTAATAGCTTTAAAGAATAATTCATTAAGATACGTGTTTTTATCATACCATATGCGCTGATGTGCTATAGATTCCAAATACCTGAGAATCGATGAATCTCTCGAGATTGATGATAAGGATACTTAACTCACAACTGAGTTGATGAAGGGCTTGAACAAAATATTTTGCTCAATACTGATGGTGAACTTTCTGATAAGATCCTTTATAAGATTCTTTTTATGACACCCTTTCTTCTGATGATGAATTAAAATTGTGTAGAGTTATTAATTATCTGTTTCGAAGTTTACTGATGTGGATGAGGTTGATTTTGAGATGTTATTGGAGAGTAGAATAAAGCCTATCTTCAATGAAGTGCCCAAGATTGACAATATTGTTGAGAACGATAAGAGTTTTTTGTATCTTCAAATGTTAAGATGTCTTTAGATGTAACAAAGCCTGTAGTTGATGTTCTTGAAATTCTTATTGGGATCCATGCTTCAATTCATTTACTTATATCTAAGGAGACGTGGCTTTTAATCATAGTTGTTAATTGTGAATAGCGCACCATAATACAGAAAAAATTTATGAAGCCATACTATATAGTTTGTTGCACTCTATTTCAAAAATAGCATGAAACGTTAAAAAAAAAAACGAGTAATTTCTTAAAATTCAACAATATTAGAGAATAATTTCTAATGCAAAAAGCATAGTATTCTTGTCATTTATAAACATAAGATTACTTTTACATATTAAATGCTTGCACAATTTACTAGTATCATATAAAATCATATAAATTTCACAATAGTATCATAGGAGTTTATGCCACTGCACAATTTAGATGAAGGCCAATGATTTGTGGGGATAAAGTGGAAAGGACTATTTTTAATTAATTTAAAATTAGTTAAGGCTGAGTGCCAATTTTTAACCTGAATAACTTAAATTGAAATCATACTGATCTTCTACAAAAAATATTTTTTTTATCAACGACTTAACATTTAGCATCCCTCATTCATCCAACCTCTTAGTTTTTTGTATTAAATTATTCAACTTTTATAGCGAAAGATTGGCAAACAACACAGGCAATTATTAATTGATTTTAAAGGGGAATAATTGGACAGATAAATTCCAGACTCTTTATACTTGGTTAAAATCTTTGCTAATTCTTTAAAAATATGCCATAGTTTATCTATCATATTTAATAATATCTACAGTTTTAATGGCAGTTCATAGGTACACAAATTCATAAGTTAGAGGATATAATTGTTTCAATCAAAGGGAGATCTTTGGAGGATCTTAATGAATGTTTAGATGGCTTAAAAAAAATGAAGTTGATTCTAGTTGATGGAGAGTCGTGGGTGGAGGATGAGAATAATCATATGAGTTTTAGATGTGGAACCTTGAATATGCATTTATAATGGTTGAGCCATAAACTCACCACCATAGGAGGAGACCAAGGATAACTATTTTGCAAAATAATATATATATATATATATATATATATATATATATATCAAAAATTCATAAATTTAATTTTTCTTGATTTGTTTTGCATGGTTTGAATTTAACAGGTTTTAACCAACAGAGATACACTAGTCGAGCTACTGTCAAAACACACTGGAAATGTATGCGTTGTTAAATCTGATTTATTTCTATTTAAGAAATAATACATTGCATGTGCTTTGAAATAATGTATATTTTCTTTGCTAGTCATTTGAAAAAGTATCCAAGGCGATGCAAAGGCCATTTTATATGGATGCCGTCAAGGCTCAAGAATTTGGAGTCATAGACAAGGTACTCCTGATATCCTTTGCTTATTTTCAAAATATCAAAATTGTCCATGGAGCATTCATATGGGGTCATTTTTTATCCTAATTATTTACTGTGATCAATTTGATCTCTCAACTTTTCAAATATGATCCAAAATAGTCCATCTGTTGGATTATTTGGATCAAATTTGAGATGTCATGGAACTAGGGTTTTTGTAGGGACAGCTTTATGTGTTTTGCATTTCAGACCACCCCTACAATTTTCTTTGGGGAACTATTTTCTTGTTGCTTGCTAAAAATTGTTGTGGCGAGAAGTTATTTTTTGTAACAAGATTTGTAAAATTTGGTGGCTATAAGAAAATTGTTGCCCGACATTTTGGATAGAATAATATTTTATAATTTTCACCACTGCTTTATAAAAAATTACTTTCCTCACCATAAATTTTCAATTTCCTCCACAAAAAACTGCAGCCACCATATTAAATAATCTCCCACTATTCAACCCTTGATTTTATAATGGCATCAGTATTGATCTTTAGCTACAATTTACAGTGGTGTTTCATGTATTAACTAATGGTAGTTTTAGATTCTATGGCGTGGTCAAGAGAAGGTAATGGACGACGCCGCCTCTCCGGAAGACTGGGATCGACGAGCAGGAATCAAGGTTGTAGATGGCATGTGACAACCGAGCGAAGAAGACATAACTGCTCAAAGCAAGTCCAGGTTTTCAGGACACTTCTACCCTGTTATACTGTTTCTTCTTTCGTGGTTTCTTTTCTCACCCTTGAGACTGTTTATTTGTGATTCAATTTACTCTCAGAATTTATGATTGGAAGTTTTACATAAATACCACTTAATTCTCATTTATGTTCATATCTAACACACCTAAACTTCATTTTTTGCATACATACATCCTTATGCATGAAAATGTGTATTTCCCTTTTTAAAAGTTAAAAGTATGGTATTTCTGACTAGATATGAAAGATTTGGGTGGTATAAATGTTAAAAAGAAAAAAATTATGTGTTAGATAATGTAAATACATAAGAATTGAGTGGTATGTATGTAAATGCCCCTTTATGCTAAAAGTAGAAACCAAAGCAACACCATTAGATTTAACTGACCTCTTTTTGCAGATATCAGAGCTTGTACAGTACCAAAGGGAGATTTGCAGAGCTACATAGCTACATTGTAAGACAATTCCAACAACAAAAAAAACAGCTTTCTTTGAAAATCCTTTTGATGAATCCTGGCTATTGCTTTTGAATTATCTGCTTTAGTGAGGCTATGGTTTTAGTTACACTTTTAGGTGTACTTTATTGGTCATGTGCTTGTCTTGGTTATTTAGGTGATCTTGAATTTGAAAGTTGATCTACAGGATAAAATTATTATGCAATTTTGTGATTTTTTTTAATTAAAAGTTATATTTAATTGGCTATTATGCATTTGATAGACATTTTATCTTGATTTCTGTTGCTGCTGCTTTCCTCAGTTCGAACTTGGAACGGCTCTCATTTTCTCCTGACTTCTCATTTTTAATCCCCAATGTGTGTATATATATATATATATATATATATATTTATTTGTTAGTTCTCAAAAGAATTTGAGCACTTAATTAAAATAATTAGAATAAGGTATTTTCCATTAATATATAATTTAATTTTTTTTAATATTTATTTTCTATAATCTTTCAAGTGCGAACATCAGTGCTTCAGGGAATTAATCTTGAAAAATAAGTTAAACCAATTAAGTTCAGAATGGTCAATGAACTGATGATTGATCTAAACCATAATAATTAAATTTTAATGGACATGTTTATTGGACATTAATTAAATTAAATTAGATTAATTTCTTACTTCATTATTAAAATTAAATAAAAAAAATAAAAGACTTAAATTCTAGAAAAGATTAGATTAGCTGGATTTAGTAGATTCAGATTCAATGATCAGAATCATTGAATCTTGCAGGCTCTTAACAACAATGGAAAAGGACAGTTACTTGTCTAGATGGGACTTTTTTTATATTGCTATTATAAATAATAGGGGCATTTACATAATACACAACTTTTATGTATTTGCATATTTAACCCTTAAAACTTCCATTTTATTTTTATAACACTCAACCTTTCATATCACAGCAAAATAAAATAAAATAAAAATAATAATAAAATAAAAAAAAAGTGAAATACACATTTTTAGGGGCATAGATAAGGTGGCATGATTATAGAAATAAAAATTTAGGTGTTATATATGAAAATAAATCTAAATTGGGCTGCAAGAATGTAAATCTTCCAAATTTTAAATTTACATTTTAGCACTCAAGGCTGGATCCGAGTTCCATCTATGCAAACTCACATGTATCAGATTCCACTCAGAGAAATGTAGTGACTTGGAAGAAAAAATCTCAAAATACTGCATAACAAAAGCAAACAGAATGTCATTGCTGCGTTTACCTATTAGACGCAGCTCTTCAAGGAATTTCAAAGAATTTAAGCTATGGCATAAGCCATATTAGTTTCTTCATTAAGAAAATATGATATATTTAAATCTGTATATAATTACTTAATTGTTTTGGAAGTAAGACACAAGATCATTCATAGCTTTAAACTTCAATTCCTATGTATTTTCATATCCAACACCTAAGCTTAGTTATTACATTCATGCCCACCTTACCTATACATGAAAAATATGAATTTCACTTTTTCTGAAGTTAGTGATAGTGATATTTTTGATGTGATATGACCATCTGAGTGTTATGAATGTAAATATTAAAATTTAGGGGCTAGATATGTAAATAAATAAATTTTGTGTAGTATTAGGGAATTACTAATGCAAGACAAGCCAGCCTTCAAGTACAAATAGTTTACCACTTTTCTCACTTATCCACTAGAGGAGCTGGTAAAAAGTACCAAGAGAAAGTATCAAGAGCAAAAGTCATGGAGGATGAGGAAGTGCTACCAATATCATAAGTGATATTTGTGCATTATAAGAAAGGAAAGATTATTAACAAAGTGTTAAAATGGTGTCTTAAAAGTTTACATCGGGCCATTTTAGTCCCATGGTTTATAAAAGTGCAAATTTAGTCCTAGACTCTATGAACACGAGCTTAAATAGTCAAATCCGAGACAACTTGAACCCCAATTTAAAGAGTCTGGGATTAATCTTACACTTTTATAGATTCTAAGACTAAAATAACTCCTTGCAATATGTTGATAATTTTCTCATTATTAATATAAAATAACATGATGTTTACTGACATGAAGACTTTGAAGACATATAAAGAGCCAAAAAGATAATGACATTCGAAGTGGCATCCCATCACTAGTTATGGCAGGGATTTGATTTGAGATAAGTGGAAGATAGTATTTTTTTCCAAGTATATTATACTTGTGACAAAGCAAATCCAACAGCTATAAGACATGTCAAGTTCCAAAATTTTGTGAGAAAATTCGGAGTTAAATTTTTTCCATTCAAGAAATCCCCAAGATACAATTTATTGGGTCATGCAGGAAGTCCAGGAAGCCATGGCAACAGAGTCTAAAATATAAGCACTATAAATTAGCACTAGCTAACTAGAAATAAGACAGTTGAAGCAAAGGATTTGTGATAGATAAACAAGAACATGGGAAACATAAACTTTAGACTTAGGAAAGATCAAAGAGAACCTAAAGAACATAGATCTTGATCTTAACTACAAACTATTGAGGAAAAAAAAATTACAAAATAAGATTATATTTTTATGGGTATTAGTGATCTACCTAATAGGTTTACATTTATTTTAGATCAAAGTGACTATAATTCATGTAATTTGATTCAATAAATTGAGAATAAAGATTGTTGCTAAGAGTTATTTGATTATTCCATGAGAATTTAAAGATGTTTATCTATTTTAAGAGGTTCAATGATGGTTAAACACTTAGAGCTGTCATGTCTGACAATATAATTATTTTTTAAATTGCCGGTGCATCTTGGGTTGTATTCATAGCATAAAGGCTAAGATATGAGATGTCATGGAATACCAAGCATAAGTGGTTCATTGTGCTGTACAATATACTGAATACATATAAAGAATGATAGCATAAATAAAATGTTTTTGAAGGCTGATTGATATTAAGAAAAAAATGGGTAGTGTCAATTATACCGATGAGAAAGAAACATGATATAGGAATTCACTCTTTCTAACATGCATTGAAGCACCAATAGAAGGAGACAAAATGAACCAAGCACATTAATTCACTCTTTCTAACATGCATTGAAGCACCAATACACCTCAACAATGCTGAAGAACACTTGGAAGGAGACAAAATGAACCAAGCACATTACAATGATAAAAATTCAAAACAATAATATTAGTTGTAAGGTGATGAATAATGCTAAATTTGGATAAATCTATTTCTTCAACACACGAAATACAAATAGTTATTTTGCATAAAAATGATCCTAACATTCAATTTTATCAGCCTAGATAAATAACCATGTTTTCATGGATTTTAATATAAATTTTATGATGGGCTTCTTTCAAAAGAAAAGAACAATAAAATCATAAGTTTTATGATGGTTGTTTGTCAGACAAACATCCTCTCAAACTATCCAATAGATCTTGAGATTATGAATAGAGAAGTATAATTGAAATTGATGACCCAAAATATTTTGAATAAGGATAATGATGCTGAAGATTAATAAATAGCCATACAATAGGCTGTTTCAAAGACGAGATTTATGTTCACAAGAAACAACAAGGATAATGAATGAAAAAAAATAAAAGAATATAAAAAGACTCCAAATCAGATTCTAGCCTGCAAAAAAGTATCCCAATTTTGTTTAAATTATCAGCACAGAACATCAACAAACCTCAAACATTATCAGATCATCAAAGAAAGTTATTACCTTGATCTAAAACGACAGAGATCCCATAAATCAATAGTGCACATTCCAAGAGATTTTAAAATATCAACTCGAACAAAAAATATAAAAAGATTAATCATCAAAATAACCGGCTGACTGAAATAGATTAAGATTGAAGTCTCATTATTCCAGACTCAAGAAAAACATCAATACTAAATCATGCTCATCTTCAAGAAATGCTAAATTTACGATCCTCTCACAATCTACACGCAAAGAAATCAAAATCTAATGATCCAAATATGACTCATTAGACAAAATGCTCTTATAGATAGAGATAGCTAACGGAATGATACCAGCAAGTGCAATCTGAAGCTGCTCTGAGGTGCTCGTCCGAACGGTTATCTGCCCAGTAAGCTTGTTGTTCAGCCCAACTCGAACAGCCATCTTTGAATTCCTGCTAACAGAGAACTGAGACTGCAAATTTGCTCCCAGAGCCAAATCATTCCTCCATTTCATCAGAGACAACCCCAAAGTAGAAAGAGCTTGACCGAAAGGGTAATCCTTGTCCCTAAGGCGTGCCTCAACGTTCGCTCCATAAGCAACATCCCCCTGTGCACGGACTGCTCCGGTGCTGGCCACAAGACCAAGCCTCTTGCCAACGGATACTCTGTCTTCTACTTTCAATCCAGTAGCTACAGTTTCCCCCAAGAAAGTAACAGATATTCCAGCTGCAGTCTTGTTCTTCTTCAAGTTCTTAAATTTGGTTTCCCCGCGGAGAATGTAGGCTAGCTGCTTCCCCACAGATTGGATATCAAACCCAGCAAGTGTAGAGCCATGTTCTCCATGTTTGGCTGCAACAGAGGAGTCTAGGTGGATGTTAAAATCCTTCTTGTCCTTAGTGATCTGAACTGCCATTGACGTTGGAAATAGACCAGCAATAGCAAGGCTCTCTTCAATGCTGACACCATCATAACCACAATCATGGTCCCAACCGTGTGTGTCCAGTACTGGTCGAGTAAGAAGCTGAGATGTTGGCTCCAGAAATCGGTAGCGGTAAGCAGGACTATCACAATCAAAAGATGGTGGAAGTACCATATCTGGTAGAGGGACTTGCACAGCTGCAGGACCACCATCCTGATCATAATCTTCAGGAATATCACCATTGGCAAATTCATCGGTATTTGCCTTTCCTTTCTTCTTCACCTCTTTCAAATGGCGAAGCTCATCTTTCCATTGTTTCTTCTGAAGAAGTTTTACCCGGTAATCGTATTCATCAAAATAGGCCTTCCTTTGCTCCTTGGTAAGCTTGGCAATCTGAGCTTTTCTTAGAGGCTTAAATGGTGGGAGCTGATCATACTCATCTTCTTCTTCATCTTGTTCTGCATCAGACAAGTCATCGAGGTCAATATCCGAATCAGCATTATCACCACCATGATCACCAGAAAGCTTTGGATGTGCTCTGGATTGCAGAAGGGAAGACAACAGAAAAGGAAGCGGAGGGGATCGGAGGCGGAAACCAAAGAGCTTTCCAGGAGAAGAGTCTTGAAGCTTCAAAAGGGAATTGGCTTCAGATAATATCTTTGATGAGTAGGACAAAAGAAGTAACTGAGGCCTCCAGCTCAATCCATTAGGAAGAATCCTCTCACCCTCCCTATTCCTCCTGCAAGAAGGATGATTCTCAACAAGAGCAACTGGATTCATGAGACGCATGTCTGCAGCTGCTTGTCGTATAGATAGCTGAACAACATGAGATCTTTGATCAATGAACATTTCATAGCCCAAGGGAGAACCATTGGGGCCATCAGGAGGAGCAGAAGCTGCGTGGGTGAGAGCAACAATGGCATTGAACCAGATTGATGAGCCCAGGATACTAGTAATTGACCTTAAAAGAGGCAAATCATTGAAATCACGAGTCTGTGTATCCATTCGGTCCACATAGAGCACAATATCTGGAGGGCACCTCTTTGTAAACTTCTTTATATATGATAGGATTTTCCTATTTTTTGCTTGATCCATTATGGATGATTTGAGCCCAGGAGTGTCTATAACACGAATTCTAACACCATTAACCACACCAGAAATCTCCCTCACTGAAGTAGTTGCTGATTCAAAAGGATGGGTATGAGATCTCTCTTCACCAAAAATGGAGTTTATAGTTGCACTTTTGCCCACACCAGTCTTTCCAATGACCAAAATGTTGCATGAGAAGTTTAAATCATCCTTCCCCTCCTCTTCAAGTTTCAAGGCTTGTTTTTTAGCGTTCTCGATACTGAATGCACGGCTTACTTGCCTGCCTTGCCTGATTCCTTCTGCAAGGTTAATACGATAAAGGACTTGAGCAGCCACTGTATCTTCTGGAGAATGACCCAACCTATGAACAAGACGAAGGAACTTCACCCTTATCTGCTCAACCTTCTCATGCAGTTTTTTTTCATCATCATCCATAGAATGAGAAGAATCTGAAACTGCGGCAAGCTCAGAGGGAGCAAAGAGGCTAGGACGAGTAGAACGGGGAACAGCTGGCCTCAGAGATGGAGCAGTTCCCAGACCAGCAGGCCGGTCCCCTGAAAAAATTCTAGCAGCATCTTGAGAAGTGACGGTAACAGTTCCATCAGAAGAACTAGTGGCAGCTTTGAGAAGTGCAGCCAAGGCTGCAGAATCAAATAGCTCACCCCCTTCACCATCCTCATCAGAATCCAGCACCTCATCGGAGTCAGAAACAATCTGTCCACCTGCATCCCTGGAGCCCTGAATACCTGAAATCCTCTCCATTTCCCTTATAATCTGCTTTGCAGCCTCAGGACTATCCAAAATAGCAACCCTTGCTGGACCATCGGAAATTCTGACTTCATCTTCATCTTCATCCTCCTCATCTTTCCCATCCTCAGCAGCACCTACTTGAGACTCATCAGCATCAGGTTCCACCTGATGTTCCAATTCAGAAATTTTAGGCAGATTTTCAGTGGTAGTTTTGAAAGTATTCTCATCTTCAACTTCTTTTGCAGTGTCAGGGAGAGTTACCAATTCATCAGCAGTGTTCAACTCACCACCACCTGCATTGAACTTAAGCCCAACTTTACCTTCATCAGGGATAGAAGCATGTTCTGAACCAACCACCACCTTCTCATCAGCAATTTCTTGATTCAGAGAAGTACTCCTTCCACTGATCTCGCTAGAATTCAATTGATTAAGATTATCAGCAGTACTCTTCTGAGGCAGACTTTCTGTAGAAGTTCCTTCAGTATTGTCATCCCCGACCACAGTTTCTTTTGCACTAACAGGAAGAGTCTCCTCTTCTAAAGCTGAGTTCAAAGTACCCTCATCTGCAGTTACCAGTTCACCTTCACCCTGGCTAGAAACATGCTCTAAACCAACCACCACTTTCTTATCCGGAGCTTCTTGATTCAAAGGAGTACCTCCACTGATCTCACTACAATTCTGTTGATCAAGCTTATCTACAGGACTCGTCACAGTCTCATAATCCACATTTGCAGGGCTATCTGCCAGAATCTCTCCCTTGCCTGCAACCACATCATTTGATGAATCAATTGAATCCAATTCTGGAGCTTCGGCATTCTGAAGATTGTCTACTCCTACGTTTCTTTCAGAGTTAGCTTCATTAATAGCACCAATTTCCTCCTGCTTCTCAGACTTCTTTTTAGCCTTTACTTCTGCTTCCAATTCATCCTCAGTGCTTTCATTAGCATTTGCATAATCTACAAAAGGTTCAACTGTCTCATCTCCATTACCGTTTTTTTCATTATCCACTTCCACAGCGTTTGGCTTCACTGAAACAGTATTGCCATATACCAAATGACCATCATCAGCAGGTAAAACCTCATCAGAATTCACAGACTTCTCCTCTTTATCTATAACATCGTCAAATCCTTGAGTATCAGCTCCAGCTTCACTAGACGCAATAACAGTGGATTCAGCTTCAATGCCCTTTGGCTCCACTTCCTCAACAGCGCTTTCATTCATTGAGTCTGCAGCTCCAGATTCAATACTTTCAATTGCTTTGGGCTCCATTGCGGTATCATTGGAGTCATCTCTCCCCGCTTTCTTGGGCTCCAGCTCCTCGGATCCTTCTGTAACAAACTTATTAACATTTTCCATTTCCACACCCAGATTCTCATCATTTTTAACGTGGCTCTCACCAACCACATTCTCGAAATTCTTTGCAGCTTCACCCCCACCAGAATCATCGCTTTCAATTTGATTCTGCGGCAATGAAACATGCTCCTCATCCTCCACCTTTTTCTCGCCAACAAACACGGAATCAGAATTCTCCCCCAAAACCCCTTTTTGGCTAGAGTCATGGAAGTCACCTTCATCCTCCGATGCATTATTTTGATGCTCCACCGCCGGAGAACTCGTCACGCCGTTTTCATCCTGCAAAAGGGTTTTCTCCGTCACAGCCGCGGAGAAAGAGCTATCAATTTCCGGGTCCGATGCGGTCTCATACTCCTCCGGTTCCGGCGACCCCTCGTTGGTGGAACCGCTGTGCGCTTGCGATGAAGGTGGTGGCGGAGAAGAAGGAGCGATAGCGGAGTCGGAATCCATGGCCATCGAGATAAGGTTGGGAGGAAGGAGGAGGAGCGATGTTGGATGGCCTGGAAGTAGTGCAAGGGTTAAGAACGGAATGTGAGATTTTTTTTTATTAGTTTTCTTATTTAATTATTTATTTATATATTTATTAGATTTTTATTTTGGGAAAAATTACATATTAGGTTATATTTAGGCAACGGAGATAATGGGCTTTTGAGCCCATGGGTTAGATTTGTAATTTGGGTGCTGGAATGAACGGAGATCCACACAAGTATTGGGCTTGGATATCAGCATGAGATGAGAGAATTAAATTTCTTTTTTAATGTTTTTCATTAAAAAAAGGGGCAATAACATTAAGACCACTCGAAATTTTCTATTTACAAATTAACCATCATCTTTCATCCATTTTTCAAATTCTCATTCAAATGTCAAAATTCATAGCTAAATCCCAACTCAGTTTTTTTCATTTTGTGGCGCGAGTAAATACATCAGTTTGGTAGTTCAAAAAATCACCTAAATGATTAATTTATAAATATTAATGTTCCAGATCATCTATGTGTAATTATTCCTAACAAAAATAGTCATCTTATCATATTTTTTATGTTCATTATTAGGTTTTATTAGTTGAATGGCTAAAAGATAATGTAAATTTGCTCTTATTTTTAAATAACATGGTATTTATTTAATAATATTATATGAATAAGATCTTTTTTTTATCAAAATAGAAGAGGGTTAAGAAAATAATAATAAATTCATGTTGAGCATTAAAATTGAATTATGTGTTGATATCAACATTATTTTGGATGTAAAATTAGAGAGCCTATAAGAAATTATTTGCTCAAATTGACTGAATCTAGGTAAATATATAAAAAATATATAAATAGATTAAAATAAGGAGAAATATATTTTTTTTTATGTAGTTCACTAATCTACTGTGGCTTTCTTTTTAACAAGAATAACAAATGTCAAAGTTCCAAGCCCACCCAATTAGAAAAATAACTAAAAATAGATCTATTGCAGAATCACAATGCATATTGTGGAATCTCCACGTATATTATACAGAAACTAAGCTCCTTTTTGAACAACGACCAATGTTACACAATAATGAAGCATCCTATGAAACAACATATCTCGAATATTGTGCAACAACACATATCAAAGATGATGTAACAATCCACCCTGCAATAACTATTTACAACTGTTGTACTTAAGATACAATGAGTTATCTAAAATCCTGAAGCTCTCTCTGTGCAGTCCACCACTATGACCTACGTGATACATGTCGAAAGATTCACAGCGGTAGAGTCTTTATTTAGTGTCATAGCATTGTATAAAAATCTAACACATACATAGATAATTAAAGAGGAGACACCTCGACTTTTAATATGGAAAACCTTAGAATGAGAAAAAAATTATGGGGTCAAGTCCAGTTAAAGTAATGCACTATATAATTGTAAGTATATAAACTCACTCTTCTCCTGATTTAGGGGAGATGAAATTGCAATGTTGATGTACAATGATATTTCAACAACAATAAAAGTAATCGATCGTGAAAGCCTTCGTTGATTTTTATGAAGATAATAGTCTGTCATGAATGTTATAGACAGTGGTTTTAGCCTCAGATTGTAGTAGATTCTATAGTTGAAAATCATGTTAGTAGTTGGTCATGTTGGTCGTAGAAGGTTACTTTAGGAGTGTCAGTTTACCACAAAGATTGTATTAAGAAGCTATAATAATATCTGTAAGTTGTATAGGCAAGAGTTGGGAGTTGCATGAGCTGTGAGTTGCATGAGCCATAGTTAGTTACCTAGATTGTAATTGGGAGTTGTAATAACCTCCGTAGGCTATAGAGGTTGGTGTTGGGAGCTGCATGAGTTGAGATAATGTTTGTAGACCACAAAGCCTAGAAATGAGAGTTGCATGAGTTATGATAACGATCATAGGGTGCAAACATCAGAGTTGAGAGCTGCATGAGCTGGGATAATGTTCGTAGATCATAAAGGCCGAAGTTTGGAGCTCCATGGGTTGTGATAATAATTGTAGGCTATAAAAGTCAGAGTTGGAAGCTTCATAAGCTGTGATAACTGATACGCCTAAAAATATATTATTTTTCATGTTTTATTTTATATTGATATTGCACTTTAAATATATGTTTTCTTGTGTTTTTTGTTGTAGGTACATCAAATTGAATAATTTGGAGTGATTTGAGCAAAAAGAACAAAAATGGACCAAAACGGAGCAAATCGGGGCACACCGGAGCCATGATGACTGAAATCAGGCACTTAACTGCCTGTGCCCGGCGCTTAAGTGACCAAATATGGAACTTAGGAGCCACCAGACAAAGAGGAGGGCGTTTAGGAGCCACCAGACAAAGAGGAGGGCGCTTAAGCGCCCCAAAATCCGCGCTTAGGCGCCGGAGACGGTTTTTAACATATCTTCTAGAATATAGGTCGGATTTGAACGATTTTTGAAGCTTTGCTTCGTGTGCCTCTTGGGGAATTCATTGGAAATGATAAAATGTACTTTAAATAAGAATTTGGGGTGGTTAGAAGGAGTTTTGAAGAGACACTTCATGCACCATTTGAAAGATTCAATGAATATGGACAGTTTTGAATAGACACTTAAGAATCTTTTGGGAAATTATAAATAAAGCTTGGAAATGCTTTTAAAAGAACTCTTAGATTCTTGAATCATTTGGAAGAGGAGAAGAAGGCTTGGGCTTGAGCCCCAAGTAGGGTGGCAAGGTGAGAAAGAAAGAGAGAGAGTGAGAGATTTCTTCTTTTCTTTTCACTTTGTTCTTGGAGAAGATTGTAAGGAGATTTCTTTTGCTATGCAAGGAGAGTTTGATTTTCATAAGAGATAAGCATTTTCATTGTATTTTAATTTGAATCTAGTACTTTGTTTGTATGGTTTCAAAGTCTTGTTCAATGAAAAGTTTTTTTTTTGTTTCTCCATGTGTAGTGAGTAGTTTTCTTTACTCTTCCCCCTTATAATGAATTAGCATGCATATGTAGGATATAGAATTGAGTAGAGTGAGAATATATTGTGATGATTTTACTTTGTTATTCATTTACATGTAAACTTGATCAACTTGCATGTAAAAATTTGTTGTGAGAACGTGTAAGATTTGTGATGGTGTTGTCTCAATCAACTGCGGTAGAATCACATGAAATTGTATGAATGAGAGTGTAGTCCATATGATTGAGTGCAAATAAATAGGAAAATAATCTTTAATGGGTGTAGAATTAGAGGACTTTAGAGTGACAGACTAAAACCCCCTAATTTGGTCTATTGTTTTAGGTTTTGATGCGAGATGTTAGCCTCTAGTGGAGGGATAAGAGGGAACTCTAGAGTAAGAGCTAGTATCTTCCCTGCCTAGCCCGTCTTCAGAACTATTCAAACTTTAAATTAACTAATGTTCTTTATATCATCTCTAGTAAGGGTAAATAATATAATTGCTCATATTTGTCACAATCTCTCTCACAACTTGTTTTATTTTTACACATGTCACAAATTTCATTACATGCGAAAGAGTACTTTTAATATATTAAACCCTACTTTTTGATTTTTGCTAAGTATTTTAGTTTAGGAGTAGAAATCATATTGTAGTGATAATTGTAGGATATAATCAAAACCAAACCTTTATCGACCTTCCAAGCTATGGCGTGTTATTTTAAACTAGAACTTCTCTGTGGGATCAATATTCCGGGCTTAATAAAAAAGCTCTATATTACTTGATAACGATACATATACTTGCATAGAATCCCTACAAATATAATTGAAATCTTACTTTGCTTGAGATCAAGTTTGGGATCAAGTTTTTTGTGTCATTATCGGGGATTAAAATCTTCAAGTAGTGGTATCAACTTCATAAATCCTTACATATAAGAAACTATTGGGATCAATAACGGTGGTAGTTTGCAAAGGGCAGAGTTGAGAGTTGTGTGAGATGTGATAATGTATATAGGCTGTAGAGGCCAGATTTGGGATTTATGTGAGCTGGATGTCACAGAATAACTTATCTCAAGTCACCCGTGCGGTTTTATCGCTCTTTCCTAACACTAAATCAACCTAACCCTTACAGTGCTTGGCCTTATAAGCACAAAACACTATAGAAATAAAAGTAGGGAGAAGTATTTGAGAAAGAAACATTTCACTAAGAAAGAGTGGTTAAAACAGTTGAATGCTTATGATCCATAGATGGTTCTTGGATAGATCCAAATGAGGTGGAGGAACTCCTATTTATAGTCCCCTCCAAGCCTAAGAGAATATTCTAGATTAAATTAGAATAGTATAGTTTCCAGATAGTTCTACACCATTCTCTTATATACATATATAGCCCTAGATCTTTCTATGTTACTCTTGAGTTATCCTTAGAGCTTTTCTTTCTAACATTCTTTAAAATGAGGTAGAATCTTCTAGAATTGCCTGGATTGTTCTCATTCATCTGATCATTTAAAGAATCTTCCAACCCATAGTTAACTTGCCAATTTCTTAAAGATGACAGAGCGTGACACTCTGCCCCACTTAAGCTCATAATGTCATCATTGTGGCTTCCTCTTGGTACCTTAGTTTTTTCTTGTTTGCCCATTTTGTATTTCTTCTTTTTGTTTCACATAGTGACACTTTGACCAGCCCCCTTTGCTTGCTCACAGACTTGACAAACTTGGGGTTTTTCTTTGGTTGTCTGGGTGAGGGGTGCCATGCAAAACGACTTCAAGGCTAGCGACAGAGTCCTTGTCTCCAGCTTAATCAAATGGTTTTTCTCCCTCCTTGGTGGTAGTTCTTTAAGAACCTCCACCATTTCCCTCAACATGGCTTCTTGGGGCTTTGCTTCTTCATTGAAGTCATGAAGAACAATTAAGTAACTCTCCTTGTTTTTTGGAATGTCTTATTTGAATTGGATGGCCAATAACATTTTGACTTCCTACTTGTTAGTCCTTATTATCAGTAATAAGCAAGATTAAATCCCTTCCATGATGCACATGATATTGGCGAAGGGCATTGGGAATGCTCTTGTTTAATCCAAGAAGTTCATCCCTAGAACAACTCTAAAATCATCCATGTGAATGACAGAGAACTCGGAGGTACCTAA